AACAGCTCAGTGATTTTTTTGGCAATTACCTTCCAGCATCCACACGTCTAACGTGTTGAGCCGGTCAGCCTATATCGGCCATGAACCGTGTGATAACTTTCGGAGCGCAGCGCGCGCTCCGAAAGTTATCACAATTGTGCTGAGTGATGGGCAGAAAGCATAAAGCATACGTGTTGCTGGGGAGAAGCGGAGAAGGAATAGAATAATCGGAGAGCCGAAGATTGAGTGATCGAATCAACCAGAGCGTCCAAAAAATTCATAACATCTCGGAACTTTTGAGAGTCAAAAATACTTCGGAATAAATGGCATCAATACATAGCATGCGCCATCACCATCGGTGATCAGCCTGATCAGCTTATACAGCTAGGTCATTTTTGAGGTCCTTTCAAATTAAATGGTTCTCTTACCCAGAAGAAGGCTGCTGAAGGACAAGGTAGTTATAACAGCCACGTATCGCTAACGCTTTCACGATTTAATGTATTAATGCGTTCTTATTATGGGATGCTGGAGAACCAAAGTCATCAGGATTGAATGTTATTTCGCTGTGCAACTGTCTTGGTATGATACCAACTAACCTTTCTTTCGAGTAGTAACAGCTTGAACAAAATGAGTGTTCGATGACGAAACCGGACGAAAAGGTCCTGCACTGAGATATCTGAAATTCATGATGCCATCCCTATTATTAAATGCGATGCTTAATTTCCTTAATCGCTTTTCACCTATACAAGTAGCTTGACCATCAACTGTTTCTCCGTTGAACATGTCGCACAAATTCGAGTACATCTGTGAGAGGACTTCCACCTGGTATGACAGACGTTAGCAGAACATCTCTTCCTCTTCTAACAATGCCAGAAAGTCCTACCTTCCTAAAATCTCGTTCAGCGAAATACGCACGAGTTATGAGCTCCAGTTTTGCCTTCAAAGCTCCGAAAAGCGGAGCTCGAGAAAGTACGCATACGCTCTTCTGCACAGTACTCCTCGTCACATCATCTGATTTTGCTACCAGATCCTGCAAGGAGATCAAGGTAATTTACGGCTCTGTAAATTCATGACTCTGAGATATGATAGAATCGATAGCCATTTGCTCATCGAACAGTGAATGATCTGTTCAGCCTATTTTTGAGGAAGAAAGTTTGCTCAAAACAATATTCCTTTGGACACTCTCAATGTTTCCATGAAAAAAAAATGAAACTCTTAGTCAACCACTCCAGAGGCCCACATTAACGCCATTCGGGAACAGACTCAAGACCTACTATATTGCCGGCTGAGGACTAATCCCATCTTTGTGAATAATGATTGCTGTATGCTGCATTGAGAAGAAAGGTAGTGTAAGTGGTAATAGGCCACGCCGCCACGCGCGACGTCCCAGTGATCAGATCCCGGGGGCTCTCGCCAGGGTCAACCAAGCCTAAACAAACTATATCCCTGTGGGATGGTAAGATTGGTCCGCTAATTTACATTGTCAGGCGGAGCTGAAGAAAATTTTGTAATGCAGTAATTTTCAATTATTGTCCATAAAACCTTACACTGGCTCACCAATAAAATTGACGATAAGCAAAGAAATCCCTGGACATAAATCAGAGCTGTATTTTACGTGATCTCTCTCCTTTGTACTGGATAACGAAACAATATTACCAGTCTGAAAACAGCAAAACTAATTCTGGTATGCACTATCTCTGTTATGAAACTTTTTCTTGTTATGCCTTACCACACACTAGAGCCTAGAGCAAGGTCTCCAGTATTACAGAATTATGAAACTGTTACCATCAGTAGTGTTGTGAGCACCATCAGGAAGGGCAAGAGACGGAAGGTGGATCCATTCATCTGGTAACCCTCCCTCTCCGTTGCCATTCAGTTTTGGGTACCGAGAACTCGGAACGCTAAATATAATTGAAGCTGATCTCTTCATCACCTATAGGGTACCCATCTTGATGCAACCCTCAGAAGAGCGAAAACACCATGATGTGTTCAAAACTTTTGCGTCTAGCTAGACCAGGCTTACATTGTCCTTTTTAGAGGCAAACGGCGCGATAAATCCACAAGGCTTGTAGGATAAATACGCCTAGCAGATAAGGATTCAGCGCCTCTGCGAAGGCGCTGCAAGGTGACTTTCCCAGCCAATTGCAGCCGGTTGTAATGCCCGCTAAGGTGCACACACACCGCCACAAACAACCCGCGCCGCACTAAAGCCGCTCAGTCACGTCCGACAAGCTGGCAACTTCCTATCCTCTAATGAAGTACAAGCGTTACTACATGGATACATGGACATATGAATACATACGTGCAGCCGTATCTATCAAAGCAGTTGCTGGCACGAAGCCAGCGGGAAACTCGTCCAAAATTCACGTCAGATGCTATGAAGAGCAAGTTTGTTTTCGCAGTTTTTTGGCCCTTTAACTTCTTCATATAGCCCTGCTACCACTTCTGAGCAGGCACCAAATTATCGTGCCTTGCGCATCTAACAAAATAGTTCCGTCGTAATAGTGCCTTTGAAGGCTACTGTTCGTTACCAAACCCCTCCCTCATCATGGCACTGCGATGTGAAATGCAGTCTTTGCTACCACTTTCAGCTTAGTCGAGTCCCTCACATTTTCCATAAATTGGAATTCTATCTTTTCGCCCAATATGCTAGCCGCCAGGATGACTAGACTTGTGGAGAGGAATTTCGAGTAGAACAGGAACTGATTGTTAGTGAAATAGGGCTCGCAGCACTATCTGAGGAACCTAACCGCCCACGACAGGCGAATCTTGCTTGCCTGAGCACGCCCTCAGCGTTATTAGAATTGTCTCGAAATAGCGGTAATAGCAGCTACCCTGCTCAACATCGTCTCGGCAGCAGGAGCACTCAAACGCCTTTCCCTTCCCATATGAAGGACAGTGTACATATTTCCCGGATTGAGCGATCCATTCTCGCGACAGGGCCGAACACACTCATCTCTAGTCGTGGGATAGCTGGAATTGGTAGGGATAAGTCTCTTGTTGATATTATTGGAATATCAGCTTCAGCAGTCCAATCATCAGCAGGGGCACGGCATCCATAATTTGAGGACCGCGGGAGTGAATCGTTACAGTTGCACGATGAACTCGGCGCATGGACGCGTGACACGCAAAACTGGCCAGTATTGGCCGTTTCGGTTACGTGAAGGCTTTTCCTAGTTTAGTACTACCATCTGTGATAATAAACCAAATCAATTTGAACAAAAGCAACTTGAGTCGATGGCCGACGCAGTAAGCACCTGCGCAATACCAGCCATTATTGTACTCAGCAAAGCAAGTTTAGACGACGAAAGAATCGGTATTGATCACCTGTGATGTAATGCGCGACCAATTCAAGCCCATAAAATTTCAATGAATTCAGTGAATTTTAATGCAGGTCTGATGTAAGCAACGAAAGAAAGGAGAAATACGATAATCGAGTTTTCTTTTCACCATTCCAAACGAAGCCGTAACAAGCAGGTGTCCTTATCTCAGAAGAAAAAGGTGCGTTCTTAAGAGTTTGCCTGCTAGATTACTGCCTTTCCGCCCGCTGCGAAATCTGAACCTGGGAAGGAAAGCGAAAAAGAACCTTGGGAAAACCCTGGACAGAGATCCCACGGCAGTGGGGCCGGCGCCTTGGAGGAACAAACAAACATCATGGGGACAAACCCAATCAGCAGGATTCTATTACGTGCAACCTATCCCCGGTAAAACCACATGAAGTCGCCCTACGACGCTCCAGGCACACGCAATTCCTCTCGTAAGCCGTTGTCTTGCAGAGTGAAAGTAATTCTGGTTGCAACGGTTGAAAATCACGCGTTTCAAGTCTCTTTAACTCGCCGTTTCGTATGATGAAAGTGGTACATTCTCTGCAAACGAAGACCAAGATGCCAAAAGCACGGAGGCATTTCGCGGACTACTTGATCGCGGCAACCTCTTCAACGGCGAACCCCACCTCTGGGAGTTTCAATCTTACAACGACGGAAACTTGAACGAGGTGCAACTGCTTCGCATCTCAAGACTGCAGTGCTTAGAGACTTTCATATGCCATTCGTAAGGTAAC